ATGCCCAATAAAATGTATCCTATTGATCCAGCCCAAGTTTGAAGAAGAGGGCTTAAGGAAGCGAAAACATTTTCTTAACGTGACACACTCAACTAAATAACAGAAGAGTAGAGTAAGCGCTTGAAACTCTTTGCGGTCGCAGATCCCCAAGAAGGGGCGGCTTTCCCCGGCTTCACCTCAGTCCTACCCTGCCTTTCCTTTCTCTGCTCGGAGTCTCCAGAAGAGCTTAGGGCTTGGCAGGAAGGCCGCAGGGATGAAAGCCAGACTGGACCAAGAACGAAGCGGGACCCTCGCAACAATAAAATGGAATTGGACAAGCTCTCGCCGCGGCTGCGCGACTCCAACCTCAAGTTTAGGGCTCCCACTCCGCCGAGGGCGCCAGACAGAGGCGCAACCACCCACCCCTCGCTGCCGCCGAAGGTGACCTGACAGCCAAGGGTTTCCCCGGGTTTCCGTTGGGGGGTTCCGCAGTCGCAGGCTGTGAGGGTCCCACAATTTTCCGAAGCCGACCGCTCCATATCCCTGAATCCGGGGCCCTAAAAGCACCTAGAGTGATCCTACTTTATTGGTGTCGGGGTTGCTTCGCCACGTCCTCCTCCCAGCTACTGTGTGCAGCGCCCTCCCGCGCGGAAATGCCCGCGGCTAAGCGTCGGGCTCCGACTCGCTCTTTCTGGCCAATCAGGAGCCGCGTACTTCTGCGCGCTCCTCTCCCGCCCTGCCCCTTTCCGTTTCCATGGAAACGCTGAGAGTGTCTACTCCAAGGCCCGGGACTTCCGTTTCGGTCTAGACGGGCTGAGGCCATTGTTTGTGTGGCTCAAGCGTTTTGGCCGGTCCTCTTCAGAGGCTCCGTAAGTGACGCGGACTCTCGAGAAGGCAGAGCCAAAAGCGGACTAGGGCAGGAGGAGCTGTGGCTGAAGGCAGAGTGGCAGAAAAGCCGAGGGTCAGGAGCCGAGAAGCGACTCTGGCTTACAGGTCCCGAAAACACCCTTGTAGGTGGGTCCTTCGTAGCTGCCCTACCACGTTAAGACCGAATAAAGGGAAGAAGAGAGGAAGGCAGAGGCAGCTTGGGCCCTGGAGTCGGGGTGCTCGGCCTTGTGAGGTGTTGGGGTGGAGCTCGGGCCAGGGATCTGGATGCGCAACCGAGGCTGAGCGCGTCTTGGGTGCTGGAGCAGAGGCCGCGCCGATCTGTGGCCCTGAGACCGGGAGATCCCGCTCCCTGTGAACCATGCGTACGTCTGAATCCGGTGCTCACACTCGGGCAGCCCGGGGTGCATTGGGGCAGCCCAAACCTGTCCTGCTCTTGAGGCATGCATGACTCGTTTTTCTTTCTAGAAAAAGAGGGCTGGTTCTTAACCAATTGCTTGTCATTTTTCACAGGGACCCACTTTGTGATCAGCAAGGAAGGGCAGGGGTGGCAAAGGCTCATGCCCCCATTTTACAGGTAAGGAAATCGAGGCCTTGGGAGGACTAGAAGTTTGGTCCTTTTAAAAGTTCTACAAGTGGTTGATGGCACAGTTGAGACTATGATCAGGTCTTGGGAGCCCTACATCTGGTATCCTTCGCCCAGGCTCCAGGTATCTCTCTGAAAGTAAAACCAATGTTTGTGCGTAACAAATAGGGAAGGGCAATAGAACTATTTTCTCCTTAAGTTGATTGAACAAAATAAGAAAAATACTTTAAGAATAGAAGGGAATTATTTAAGTGCTCTTATTCCTATTATTTTTATTATTGTTGTTAATAATAAACTATACAAATAAACTATGTAATAATAAGTGTAATTAATAAGATAAAGCCTTGAGGTTCAGAGAGTTGAATTCATAGAGAGGATCTGCATCCCTGGAGGGACTAAAAAGTGAAATCAAACTTTGTGGTTTTAATGTCCAAACTAGAGTTGTATCCTTTGAAGTTTCTAGAGGGTCAGAAATAAGTTCCAAAGTACCGGTGCTCTTAGCTCTCCTTTCTGATTGTTAAAAAGGAAGAGGAATATTCTTGGGATCTTTTTGACTTCTTTCTAGGAGATTTGGGGATCATACTCGGTTAGTATGTGGGGATTTTAGTGAGTTTGGGAATTTAAAGTCATGCCCAGATTTTTGATTTTTGTTTGTTTTTTCATTTTATACCCCATCCTATTGGCAAGAATTTAAAAGTGTGACAATATTGGAGAGGATGTGGATCAACAAGATATTTCATGTATTGCAAGAGGAGTATAAACTGTTACAAACAGATTGCAGAACAGTTTGACATTATCTTATAAAGATGAATATTGCCAGCAATTCCACTCTTAACCAAATACTCCAGATATCTTATAAAGATGAATATTGCCAGCAATTCCACTCTTAACCAAATACTCCAGAGAAATTTTTGCCTATGTACATCAGAAGATATGTCCAAGAATGTTCATTAGCACCGTTTCAATAGGAAAAAAAATCTGATAATAACCCAATTGTATATTACCCAGAGAACTGATAAATGCATTTATATTTATACAATAGGATATTACACAGCATTCAGTCATGCCCAGTTTTTCATTCCTTCTTTCTTCTCCCTCAGCTCAGCCATCTCAACAATCCACCCTTCCGCAAAAGAAGAGCACAAAGGAGGAAGGCATGTACACTGTTTTCCTCATAGTGTGACTCCAGGTGAGTAGGATCATTTTTTCTCATTTATGAAATGCCCCTGAATTCTCCATGGGCAGTGGGGGTAGTGGAAGTGGCAATGAGGATGAATGTATCAGATTATATAAAAAATGTTCCTCACTTGCCTGAAAGGCTTCCAGGCTTCCTACGCAGCATGCCTCTCTGCCTCCCACCCAGTCGCAGTGTCTCTTCCCAACATTTATTCACTCAGTCACTCACTCAAGTCTACTATTATAATTTGTAGTGTTCTTGGTGCTCTCAGATAAAAAAGTATAAGAATGTCTTAATACTGGGGTATAAAACATATGAGGTTATAATAATTAATGAAGTTATCCACATTAAACTGTGCCAGAATGAGTGGTACTTAAAACACAGCAACAAGAACTCAGATTTGAACCATCATTATAAATAGGAAGATAAAATTCTGGACAGGAAAACCATTTAATCTCAGAATTGGAAGAGACGAATAAGGAAACTGCTAGTTGCAGGGGAGTGTAGGTATGAATGTATAAAGTGAAACTACATTGTGTAGGGCTATTAATGCTTAATTTGTTATTTATTCTTGTGTACCACTCAGAGTCCCCTTCACATCAGCCAGAGGCAGTCATTATTGACATTTGGGTATATTTACTTATACTTTTTTATCTTATACTTAATGTACATACATACTTATTAATCCATATAAACATTAATGTATATGTGTACATGTACAAACACATGTACAAATATATGCACATAGGTTTATCTAAGATACATGTATATATAAATATATGTAAAAAAATTTGAATCATGATAAATAGGTTCCATTAGGGTAGGGAATGTTCCCAATATATAGAACTGTACTTGCATATAGTAAGCACTTAGTAAATATTTGTTGAATGAACGTATGTCTGTTATTTGTGTAATTTTTTTCTTTTAACATAAGGAGCATTTTTCTGAGCATTTTTTGATAGCATGAATTTTAATGACTATATAGTGTTCCATTCTAGGTATGTACTGTGTTTTATTTAAATTCTCTTTTATTGGGGAATATTAAGTATTTCCCAATATTTTGCTGTTATAAAATAAACATCTAATAAGTATTCTTTTTTTTTTTTTTTTTTTTTTATTTTTTTTTTTTTTTTTTTTTTTTTTTTATTTTTTTTTTTTTTTTTTTTTGTCCTTTTGAGACCGGCTGCACCGTGCTCAGCCAGTGAGTGCTGTGAGCGCACCGGTCATCCCTATATAGGATCCGAACCTGCGGCGGGAGCGCTGCTGTGCTCCCAGTGCCGCACTCTCCCAAGTGCGCCACAGGCTTGGCCCTCTAATAAGTATTCTTATACATAATTTATTAAGTATATGTATTATCTTCTCTAGATATTACTCTGCAAAATAGGAAAACAGTCAAAAGATATAAACATGTTTTAGGCTTTTGAAAAACTTAAGTTCTTTTTTAGAAATATCACATAAACTCCTACAGTTATTTGATGAAAGATCCTATTTTGCTGAACCTTTACCAGCATTACTATATTTTAAAGTTTTGCCTCGATTTGCATCCCTTTATTCTTTAGTTGAGTTGGTTTTTTTTTTTTTTTTTTNAAAATGTTCCTCACTTGCCTGAAAGGCTTCCAGGCTTCCTACGCAGCATGCCTCTCTGCCTCCCACCCAGTCGCAGTGTCTCTTCCCAACATTTATTCACTCAGTCACTCACTCAAGTCTACTATTATAATTTGTAGTGTTCTTGGTGCTCTCAGATAAAAAAGTATAAGAATGTCTTAATACTGGGGTATAAAACATATGAGGTTATAATAATTAATGAAGTTATCCACATTAAACTGTGCCAGAATGAGTGGTACTTAAAACACAGCAACAAGAACTCAGATTTGAACCATCATTATAAATAGGAAGATAAAATTCTGGACAGGAAAACCATTTAATCTCAGAATTGGAAGAGACGAATAAGGAAACTGCTAGTTGCAGGGGAGTGTAGGTATGAATGTATAAAGTGAAACTACATTGTGGAGGGCTATTAATGCTTAATTTGTTATTTATTCTTGTGTACCACTCAGAGTCCCCTTCACATCAGCCGGAGGCAGTCATTATTGACATTTGGGTATATTTACTTATACTTTTTTATCTTATATTTAATGTACATACATACTTATTAATCCATATAAACATTAATGTATATGTGTACATGTACAAACACATGTACAAATATATGCACATAGGTTTATCTAAGATACATGTATATATAAATATATGTAAAAAAATTTGAATCATGATAAATAGGTTCCATTAGGGTAGGGAATGTTCCCAATATATAGAACTGTATTTTTTTTTTTTTTTGTCCTTTTGAGACCGGCTGCACCGTGCTCAGCCAGTGAGTGCTGTGAGCGCACCGGTCATCCCTATATAGGATCCGAACCTGCGGCGGGAGCGCTGCTGTGCTCCCAGTGCCGCACTCTCCCAAGTGCGCCACAGGCTTGGCCCTCTAATAAGTATTCTTATACATAATTTATTAAGTATATGTATTATCTTCTCTAGATATTACTCTGCAAAATAGGAAAACAGTCAAAAGATATAAACATGTTTTAGGCTTTTGAAAAACTTAAGTTCTTTTTTAGAAATATCACATAAACTCCTACAGTTATTTGATGAAAGATCCTATTTTGCTGAACCTTTACCAGCATTACTATATTTTAAAAATTTGCCTCGATTTGCATCCCTTTATTCTTTAGTTGAGTTGGTTCTTTTTTTTTTTTTTTTTTTTTTTT